CAATTTCCAGAGTTGTGAAAGATTGTTTTTGACAAGATTATTTTGACAATTTTGACCAGGGTGACAGTTACATGGGTACATGTACATACATCAACTCTCATGAATGTGTTTTTCTATACTCTTTATACCACCAAAATCAGAAATTATCTAGATAAGCTTTTATACTATGTATACACATACAACTATAGTTAGTATAACTGCTTTACAAACAGTTGGATCATTAAATACTGATGAAATTAAGAGTTTCATAGAACACTGTATTAGCAAAATTAGATTATCAAAGAATTTATATTTAATAATGAAAATATGAAAGTAATTAAACACATCCAGTACAACCTGAATTATTTTGGAACTTACACAAATATCAATATATGTGAAGTAATATTCTTACATTAAAAGTTTAAGTATTATCTATGAAAAGGAGGTAGGATTACAAGTAATATACATACGTGCATATGAACATATTCACATGTATACACACGTGTTTATGTGTGTGTGTGCTGGAGATTGAACCTAGGGTCTCATGCCTGACTTCTGTATTTTTAAAAAATTTTCAAAATTTTCTACTTTATGTTTGTATGAAAAAAACAATTTAAAGAGAAAATAAAAAAAGGCAAGCTATATCACCTACTAAACCAGATCCAAATTAGATGCTCATACCAAAGCTTTTTCACAACTTTAACAAAATAAATTAAAATAAATTTGTAAGGGTATATTAAATTATGTATTACTTTAAGATACTTAGTATGCTTATGTTAACAATGTCATAAATAGGAAAGATGTTATTTTACTTTTCTGGGCATGATATAAAAGGTTTTTGTAGAATGTTGTCAGGGTAACTATACATCACACTAAGGGGAACTTCTTTTAAGTGGTAACATGTATGCACATATCCAGTTTCCAGCATGCTATTTAAAAATTAATCTTACCACTACACATATTATTTTATATTCAGGAACTATTCACAAGCTTTTGCTACATATCATAATCATAAAATACCAAAATATTGTCTTTATTTCTATTATCAATTTCATTCTTTTAAGGACCTTACCTTAGCTGCATGATATGTACTAGCTTCAAGTAAATCATCTTTTTTAGCTTCCTTGGCAAGCAGATTAAATCGACTTAACATTGCAGCCTTACAAAGCCGACTTGCCATTGACACACCACTTTTAAATGGGGAACTAAAGTAGAAAGGAACAAAACATTCATTAATCATTATTTAGTGATTTTTGTTGGCCACTGTAGGAATTAAAATCAACAGTCTACAAATATTCATTCATCCCAATTACATTATGTACGATGCATGTAGTGAAATGTTTTTACATAAAAATTCTGAATATTTAGTTACTTCCTTAATTTCTCTTAAATTAGCTGTAAATTATAGTATTATATTAAAAATAAAGCAGAAGATTGATATTTGGGATATTTCCATTTTTTGAAGTAAAATTAATACTAGGATGATTAAAAGAAAAAGTGGTTCTCCCTTGGATTGACTGGAAGGGAGCATAGAAATTATCTTCTGGGATGATGAAAATGTACAATATTTTGACCAGGGTGATAGTTACATGGGTACATGTACATACATCAACTCTCATGAAATTTTACAGTGCATTCTCTGCCAAAAAAAATATTTAACTTAAAAAAATAACATGTATACATCTACTTTACAATCCTTGCACTTGTATATGTGCACACAGATGTTTATGCCATTTATAATTCTAATAAAGTGAGTCCACAGATCATGAACCTTTTTGATGTTGTAACTTTGCTCCTTCATTATATGTTTTCATTAGTTGTTGTGATGGAATATAAAATTGCTAAAATTCTTCATTTTTCCTGCTCTTTACAATGTAACTTCTCAGATCCACCATCAGTAAGTGTGGATAATCTCTCTTCCACTTGAATTTATGCTAGTCTTGTAATTTGTTTTGGTAAATGAGAGAGACAACATGTAGGTTCTGAGCGTAGGCCTCAAGGGACTCGTATTCTTATTCTTTCGAGTCTCCTTCATACTCAAAGTCAGTCTGCTGGCATATGAAGGTAAGAAAACACACGAGTCAGAGCCCAGTTGTCCCTCCAAGAGCAGCCAAACTAACCTTTTTATTGGATCCATAGCCTATTCCAGATGCATGGGGAGTTCAACCACTCAGATGACCCAAGAACTTATAAGTAGTAACAAATACTTGTGTAAAGTCAAGTACTTAAGTTTTGAGGTAGGTGGTAAGTAGCAAAAGTTAACATACACTCTCGGTGTGAATCTACTGACTCTGTAAATTAATTTTCTATCATGATACTTCTATTTAGGTAGTTTTTCAGATAAATTTCTTGGGCTTTTCAGGCATAAATGATATCTTCCGAGGGGCTGAGTGTGTAGGTCACTAGTAGATAGTACTTGCCTAACATATGTGAGGCTCTAGGTTCAATCTTCAGCACAACAAAAAATGATAACAAAAGAAGTGATAGTTTTACAACCTCTTTTTCAAAATTTTATATCTTATTTCTTTCTTTCCCTTGTCCAAATTATTAATGCTATATAATAGCAATAATAGTAAACAATCATATCTTACTCTAGGTGTCAGTGGCAATACTTCTGATATTTCATCACCAATCCTGATAATATTTGGAGACTAATAAAGGCACATTTTGTCCTGTAATCAAAGTGCATAACTAATTCCTTTCTGATTGAATACCTTTATTTAGAATAGCTGTAGAAGTTTATATATGTCCTCTTAGAATTTAGAGATGAGCATATGGTATGGTGTTTTTCCCTGGGTCAATAAATACGACAAACTATTAAGATGTTCTAGTCTGGTATTATTTCTATCATGCTACTATATTCTTGCAGTCCTAGAAAAAATTTCAATTGAGATTCTATAAAGTATATGATTATTTTATAGTGTTAAATTGTCAATTCTGCTTGGATATTAGGGAAGCTTGGCCTTTAACATGTGCGTGCGTGCGTGTGTGTGTGTGTATTGTGGGGGCAGCAATTTTCAAGTTTAAATATTAATGATACATTAGCTTTGTAAAAGTATTTTGATGTTTTTCTCTTTTTACATTGCATTGGAAGTACATGCTATTTAAAGGTTCATTAAATAATTCTTCTGAACTAACTAATAATGATGCTTTCTTTTAGGAAGAATTACAGTATCTTCTTAATTTTCCCATAAAGATGTTTAGATTTTTCTAGTTTGGGAAAAAATTTTAGAAATTAAATCCATTTCACTCAGGTTTATATTTGTGTAGTCCAACAAAGTACAGTTCTTTTAACTGTATATTTAATTTTTCCCTTAGCATCTATTATTTTATAGATTAGCTAGTGATTTTTCATAGAATCATTTTTTATAATTGTCTTTTTCTGGTTTTAGTTATTTTCTTTACATTTCTAGTTCATTATTTCATTTTGCTTAATCTATTTCCATTATTTATTGATAAACCATTTAAGACTTTGACTTTTTCCTCTGCTTTAAATGAATATCCTGAAAATTTTGATAGGTAATACTTTCAATGTTGTTTTCTAAATATTATACAATTTCAGTTTTTATTTCTCTTTTGAACCAGAAATCAGAAAAAAAATTCCCCCAATGAAAACAATGTCTAGCATTCTGATTTTGTTGTTTATAACATCATTTCGTTATAATCAGAGAATATCCCTTACACTGCTCTACTTTTTGGTTTTTCTGTGTAGCCCAAGAAATGGTCAATTTTGTCTATATTCTTGACAAGTATATTTTTGGGGGGATGCCTTGATTTTGCTGAGGCTATTTGATCCTCCTGCCTCAGCCTCCTGAGCTGCTGGAATTACAGGTGTGCGTCACCTCACCCAGCTATTTTATATTTTTAAGTTGTAGTGTTTAAAATAAATTATACTCAATGATCATTTAAAATGGCTATATCCTTGCTTGTTGTTTTGTTCACTTGATCTACCAAGAACTGATTCAATGAGGTGAATAACTATAGAAATATTTTCCCTCATCTGCAATTTCTGCTTTCTGAATGTTGATTATATTGATTGCTTGCTATATATAGTCATAACTGTTCCGACTTCCTTACGAATCATATCATTTATCACTAAAGTGTTCTGTGTCTTATTGGAAGTAATTCTGTTGGAGATATATTTTAAATATTGAACAAGGTACAATTTATCTTTCATTTTCTTGTTTGTAATCACTTAAGCAAATATTTGGTTATAATACATGTATTAAGCTTATTTTTAGTTGTTAATTTCATCTTTATTATGCCATTCTTTTGTTAGTAGTAAACAGTTTGTCTTTTCAATAGAAAATCTGGTTTGTATGTGTATAGTCGAGACTACATACATATGATCTAAAGAACAAATGGCATTTTCATCTTAGTTGAAGTAATCACTATCATGCTTGAGTAGGTTCATACAAAGAAACATTTGTACATGACCTTAATGAGATCTTTCATAGAAAAAGCAATTTTAACCCTTTAAACTTTTAACATCATTTATAAACTCAATATAAATATATGTTCATATTAAAAGAAGGGCTTCAGTTTTACCCAATCACCAGGGGCAGGAATATTACAAAAACAGCATAGAGCACTATGATTAAGAACAAGGTCTTTGGAAATAAAATGTCCAGATTGAAATCCCAGCTGCCTACCTTACTACTTGGGTGACTTTAGGCAAACTAACCTAGTTTGAATGTTAGTTTCTTTACTTAGAAAAGAAGAGCAATACTACCCAATCTACAGAGTTATTGTGAAGCAGTTTAAGATGGCATAGTTCTCAAACCTGAGATCCAGAAATTCAGATTCAACAGGTGAAACTGAATATTTAGAACAAACACATGATTGTAATGCTTATCACAAAATGATACCTGGAGAAACACACACTCTGGAGCCAGGCTCCTTGGGTCTGATGCTGGCCTCACCACTTACTATGTAACTTTAATAAGCTATATAACTTCTCCAGGCCCTGTTTTCTCACCAGGAAAACAAAAATGATTTAGTATGATGCCTGTAACATTGTCACACTTGATTAATAATAATTATTGTTCAGAATTCAATAAATCATACTAAAAAGTTAGAAATTGCAATCAAAACATCTTCTTTTACTTAATACATAATTTTTTTAAAAAATTTGTAATTCTAACCTTTCAGTGATCTTCCCACTTAGGCCATCGACAATCTCCAAAGAAATGTCCCCTTGTGCCCAATTCATACTCAGGGATTTATATTCCAAGTTCACTTGAGGTGGATATGCAGCGGGTACTAAACTAATATGAGGTCTGTTGACCAAGTAAAACATCGGAAGCTTTGAAGTGAGCGCATCATCAACACGTTGCTTGATTGCGATTTCTAAACCTCTAGTATCACTACAATTCCCATCACCTAGAAAGCAAAAACAAATACTCAGAAATTCAATATCAAAAGAAAAGACTTTGCTAAAAAATGTCTAAGAAAAATGAACAGAATCAACCCAAAGCCCATTTCTCTTTTTTTCAATCTTTTTCTTTTCTTCCTATTTTTTTTTTTTAGCAATTCATGACAAAATTTGTATTTTAAAAATATTCTTAGAGAAAATGAGTCATTCTAGTAAATAAAATCAAAGAGTCAGTATTGGCCCAGAAAAAAACTACTACTTTTAATAAGGTTCTACCTGACAATTGGCTCATTCTGTCTTTATTTTCTATTACAGCATAAAATCAGCATATAATTCAGTTTATAAATCTGAATGAGAAATAGTTGGTGAAAGTTGAGTTATTATCCAAGGGCCATAAATTACAGCTGTTTCAGGATCATAATGCCTCAAAATACAAAGTAATTTAATGACCATGTCTAGTTAAAACTGACTAATGCCCAAAGCTCTAAATTCTCAGTTACAATTGCTGAAGAAGAGATCACAGAAAGATACAGTGTCACTAATATAAAATAGGGAGGTTGTTCCAACTTCAAATAAAAAATAGGAAGCCCTCATTTCTATTTAGAAAATAATACTTTAAAAGTAGATGTAGTTCTTAGAAGGTCAGAATCTGTCACAATAGAAATCTATGTACCATTCAACAAATTTCACAAAGTTTTGCTTCCACATCACTGGAATTGTTGAGGTGGTTATTAGGACTTATGCTCATTGTGACCATATAAGCCTTAGAAAATGAACAAAAGCAGATAAGTCTGCTTTTGACATCCTTTTTCTTAGCATTCCTTTGAGTGTTCTAAATCAGAAGAAAATGACAAATGGAGGCTAGAAGGCTAGTCAAATTAAAGATAAAGTTGGGCACAGAGAAAAACTGGAAGAAACTAAGGTCAGAGGAACAGGTACTGGATCTATAATAAAGGGAAGATATAGATTCAAAGGAAAATGTATTATTTAATTATATATTGTAATAATGACAGCAGTTATGCAAAAAAAGGCAAGAAACAGGTGGAAAAGAGAAAAATCCTATAAGTCAAACTCTTTGTAATATTCCTTCAGCAAGAATTAGTTTTACTTAACTGTTTTAATGAGAAGCATAAAAGCTAATGATGTAGTAGAAAAATCACATCCATTAATAGTTTACATTTTTCCTTTATGCATGAATGCTTTTAATGATTTACTATATCTGAAGTATAATTTTTTTCTTGATGTTCACTCTTATCCCTCGAAAAATATACCTCCAAAATTATATTACTGGGAAATTTTGATTTGATTCATTTGAAATGATCTGAAATAACATGAAACTCAAAGGTTGAAGTCAAAGGTTAAATCTAATCTATAGGAGATGTGATAGCAGCTAATATAGGAAAAAAATTCTACCATGAATTCAGCATGGGAAGTCGCAGATTGGGTTTCCATTTAGGCTCTACAATAAACAAACTAAATGACTCTGGGCAAATGTTTTATTAATATTATGAACCTCTTATTATTGACCTGAAAAAACTAAATAATAATTTCTAAGGTTATGAATGATTCCTAAAAGTTCATAAACTATGTTTAAAATAGATTCCTTCTCCAGCAGAAAATCAACATTTGGTCTTTACATTACAATCGTACAATTTGAGTCAATATATGAAAAGGACTCCTGGATACAAATATCTCCGAACAAACATCTGTTAAATATTTAGACAGATGAACTTAACTGTGTATAGCAAATTTGTAAAATGAACCTTAAAAAGCTTGAAAACAAATACAGATCCAATCATTTTTCAATAGCCAAGCAAAGTGAATTATTTTTCCAGATTATTCTGGATCATTTTCTAGTCAAATAATAGTAAATGCCTCTTTAATGCAAGCTTAAACCTCATATTTTATTATTATTTAGTAGTGTTAGATACCAAACCAGGTCCTTGTGCATGCTAAGCAAGTGCTCTACTACTGAGCTACATCCCCATGCCCCATGTTTTAAATTTAAAAAGACAACCACTGCAAAAATGACAAAGTGAGCATTTGTATAACAAAGCATTCTACAAACTTCAAAAAGTAAAATTATTTTAAAATGTTAACATTCTATTACATTAACATAAGTTTTGAAGAATAAAAATTTTTAAAAGTATTGATAGAAAGGGAATAAGGTCATGTTTTTTTTCAAAGAATTAGATTCAGTCTTTATTGTCACTTAGTATAGAATGAAAGGGAAGCATACTTCAATTCTAAATAAAGAAGATGTTTTGAAGATTGGAGCTGTTTCATTAATGAAACTGGGTGTCTTTAAACTGCACTACTCCACATTATTGGATACTTTAAAGCTAGGCTTAGATGATCCTCTATCTGGAATGGCACAAGAGTCTAGATATTAGATATGCAGTCATATCTAATATCTAATACAATAGACCATGTGACTAATAAAGTTCCATTAATTCCCAAGATTCTTTTAGCTATTCAAATCACACACTTCAGTGTACACTTAGACACTGAGAATAGCTCAAAGGGTGAACCATTAGATATTTGTATCCAAATCACCTTTTAAAAAAAAAATATTTCTGGATTTTGTAATCCTTGCTCCTCAAATGGAACTTAAGAGGTCCAGAAATCTGTATTTAGGAACACCACACATTATCAATCAGCTTCAGATGTGTCCCATAGAGATGCCAATAAAGAAAGCAAAGCCGGAGCTGGGGATGTGGCTTAAGCGGTAGGGCGCTCGCCTGGCATGCGTGTGGCCCGGGTTCAATCCCCAGTACCACAAAGATGATGTGTCTGCCGAAAACTAAAAAATAAATATTAAAAAATTCTCTCTCAAAAAAAAAAAAAAAAGCAGAAACAATTTTCCAAAGTCCTATTATTTTTATTGCTGCCTGGTATGCCCCACATCCATGTGCAAAATGACAATCAAAATGACCAGATCTAATTTTTAAGCCCCTATCCCAAACCACAAAATAAATATGTAAATAAATAAATACTCATGCTTTTAATAAACTATAATATGGAATATGGAGTTAATCATCCAAATGACAAATTTTAAAAATGTCAAATATGTAAATGAATAAATAAATGTAAATAAATATGTAAATAAATAAATGCTCATGCTTTTAAGAAACTATAATACGGAGTTAATCATCCAAATGACAAATTTTAAAAATGTCAAACAAAGCTTTGCTTACCAAAGCTGTGATTCTAGTAAAATCATAGATGTCTTAGACACTTCAGACACTTAAGATCAAAAAGAGCCTTTCCTAAGATTCAGAAAAGTTTAAAGTATTTTGAAAAAAAACAAAAACCTGAAGTGACTAAAATAAAATATAATGAACAAGAACCTTAGTAATCAAATTAAATCTAAAAAAAAAATGGTTCCTCATCAACAATATACATTTGGAAAAAGCAGACTGAGAAACAACCACTTTTAAGGATTTGAGTAAACAAGAGCTCACATATGTTGTTCATGGGAATATCAGGGTGTTATTCTGTAATATTTTTCAAAATTACAAATGCACAATTTTGACCAATAATTCCACTTTCAGAAATTCACCTTAGAGATATATTTTTACATGTGTGAAAAACAAATGTAAAAAGCTTATTCACTGTAACATTTTGGTAGCTGCAAAAGACTTAAAAACATTTAAAATTCAATCAATTATTTAAACAATGATAATATTTATGCATTATATAGCCATGAGGATTAAAAAATTCTTTATATACTTATACATAAAACTTTTTGAGATACATTATTAAATGAAAAAGCAGGATGTAACAAAGCACTAATTGTTCATATTGGCAATAAATACAAAAAAAAGAAAATGAGGGATAAAACACTAGAAATACATATGTATGAAATATTACAAAAATTAAGAAAAAATACAGAAACAGCACTGACTAAAAATAAAAATATTACCCACATAAGGGTCTAAAGCTTACACATGCATTTGTTTTTATAAAACTAACAATGATCAGAGTCAAGCGACAGCAGTAAATTGCTTCACCAAGACCATGTGAAAACTACAGAAATAAGACAAAATTCTGTTAATGTCTGAAATGCCTTTCAAATAAAATCTAGCATCTGAACTATCTCCCCCAAAGAGAGCAATTAGTAATTGTTGTTTTGTAATCCAGTTACTTTACATTCATCTGACCACTTAAATGGATCTGCATCTATCATAATCAAATGTATAAAAAGAGGAGGGTGAGAAAAAGCCAAAATAGGCATTTAACATTGTATGTCAGAAGGAGTAAAATGCAATATAAGCGTTTACATTAAGAAGTTCAAGGAAGCATCTTCTCCCAAAACAAATAGGGAAAGATTAAATTTTACGTGAACAAAAACATAAGATCAAGACAGAATACATCTAATTTGCTAATTAAAAAAGTTAATTCTTGGTCTACTAATAAATGATAAAAGTTATATACTAAGTGTGATTACAAGTTACCATAAAACAAATAGCTGGGTTTGAGTTTTCACCTTAAATAAAGTTTCTTGCATGCGAAAGCTGATTTTACAAGCACAGGACAGAGAGGTTTAGTGAAAGAAGCCAGGAGATACTGAGACCCCACTCACCAACAAGTATGCTGTTGACATAAACTGGTTGTATAAAGTGACTAAGCAATGCTCCCTGTACACCAAGCACTTCCCATCTTGTCAACTTGTCACTTGAGGACATACTGTTCACTCTGTTAACAATATCTGTAGGGCAGTAAACAGTCAAATAAATTTTGCCTTCAACAGCCACATGGAGACTCAGTTCTTCATTTGCTTCAAATGCAGATATAGAATGTGGATTAAGACGCCTGGAGAAAGAAAAGCAAGTTTCTTAAAAAAAAAAAAAAAAAAGTTGACAAAGTAAAATACAGACATTACTAAGCATTGTCCTCTACCAGGTTTAATTTGCTAGTGTACACTGAATTCCAGCAACAGAAACAGAATCAAACACCAAACAAAGCAGGAATGGATTCACTCTTCCACAAGATTAATACAAAACAGACATAAGCCATACTCAGAACTTCAGCCCAACCTTTATATTATCAACATTCTTATGTACCTTAAAACCAACTTAAAAACTATTTTTTGTTCTTATTATAATTAGTCATTTCCTTCCTCTGTACACAAATTTTTAAAACTATACAATGACAAAATAGAAACAAAACTGACAATTTTTATTCAAGATTCACCTCTAATTGATAAAATAATAAAATCTAAAATTCAATTTCTCTCTAGGAAATGTTGTCCTTATTTTCAAATGTGTTACTGGAAAGATTTTAATCAAAACATTACCCATGGTTCTCTCTAGATGGTCAGACTTGAGGCAAATTTTATTTTCTTCATGGTGCTTGCCTATACTTTTAAAATTTTATACTACTTGATACTATTTATTCAACAAAACAATGAAGCTATGACCATAAATTAATTTTGTCTAACTCCTGTATTTATATATAAACATGCACACTTCACAAAAGTTTGTGAAGTCTTAAAAGTAGAAAGGACATTTTCAATAGCATAGAAAGTGAAGTACATGAAATTTTTTAGTACAAGTCATATTATAGATAAAGTTGAAAGAAGGTGGCAAAAGTATTTGTGGCCCCCTGCAGGCCACAAATAACAATGTGGGTCCATATGAATGTACTTGTGTCTACAGTTTCAGAAAATATGCAGTGGTCATCCTATTGTCTTTTAAAAACAACTTCCCTTATACTTACAACTGTGACTTAATCTGGGCTGATCCTTTAGGCAACTGGTTCATATACAGATAAATGTTGATGTCTTGTTTCAGAGTGAGTAGATTAGAAGCTGGATCTGTACAAAATATTGACTTTTCCATCATAGCAGGATTTTTGCTATAGAAGAGTAGGAGCTGTCTATAAAAGTACCTAAAATAAATGTTTTAATTTTGTTAATAAAATTATTCAAGATGTTTCTTAATGAGCATTATAATCTGTGTATCATAAACAATGTCCCCATTGTATCAAAGTTTTATATTTATTTATTTATTTATTTATAGGGGTAGATGGACACAACACAATGCCTTTATTTTTTTAATGTGGTGCTGAGGATTGAACCCGGGTCCTGCCCGTGCTAGGTGAGCGCTCTACCACTGAGCCACAATCCCAGCCCCTCAAAGTTTTAATACAGATAAGAACTCATAAAATAATAAAAAATTAAGAACTCTTAATTCAATGAAAAATTAAGAAGCCCTCAAATGGAAGCTAGTCTGCCCTGTAACATGTAATGAAACACCAAGCCTTGATTATGACTCCATTTCCATTTCATATTTGAGTCTTCCACTATCATATCCTGCAAAAGACCCATTGCTCTACTGATTCCTCCCTTCTTTCTCAGATGGCTCTGCTCCCAATCTCAAGTGAAGAGCCCCTTCTCTACCCAAATTATTTCAACAACATTATCACCATCAACAACAATGGTAGTTCTGCTCCTTATTGGTTTTAAAGGGGAAAAAAACAGCATAGGAAAAATATAATGACTACCACAAGTTGTATTAAAAAGTCAAGCAGGCCAGATATGGTGGTGCACACCTGTAATCCCAGTGGCTTAGGAGGCTGAGGCTGGAGGACTGAAGTTCAAAGCCAGCCTCATCAACTTCATGAGACTCTGTCTCAAAAAATAAAAGAACTAGAACTGGGTTTTTTTTTTATCAGTGGTTAAATGGCCCTGGATTCAATCCCCAGTATAAAACAAAACAAAACCCCCACCCACCACCACAACAAAAACCAGCAGATCTCCTCAAAGACTGTAATTAAACTAGGAAAAACTACTTTGCTTATTTAAAAACCACGATTTTAAAATGTACTCTGTTCAAGCACACCACTGGAAATATGTAATAAAAAAGTAAGCAACAGTGTATAACAATGCCAAACACAGGCAGAAATAAATGCAAAAGTGAGAGTTTTACAGAGGTCAAATAATGTCATCAACACCAAAGGGGGATGGGAGGACAAGGAGTAGGAAGATCCTCATGGACTTCTCCAATGACTTAATATTACACAATTCTTTTCTTATTATTAAAGATACATGCTGATATTTTTCAGGTAGGATATTCCTAAACTTATTTTTAAATACTTCAGCCAAAAAAGCACTTACAAGTGAGAATTCAGAGATTAAACAAAAATAGTACAATAATGGAAATGGAATTTACTATCATTTTATTTTCATTTGTATTTGAAAATTTCCATAAGAAGTTTGATTAAAATAAACTTTGGAGAACCAAAAGCTGGTAGTTCCCATTTCTCACAGTTTGTTTTCACATGAAGTTTTTAGAGTATAACATTTCTGGCTTCTCATCTGTTCTTCATTCTTCTTGCAAGGAGCAGAGTGACTGATGAGTTTAGAAAAAGAAACTAGGCATATGTACCTCTGGTCCCTTTCCTTCTCTTTGATTATCTATTAGCCTGACAGACACCTTATTTAACACTCTGCTAGATGATAAATTACACTTACACATTGTACTCATAAGTTGGAATCTTGTCAGCTTCTGGTGCTATCCTTGGATAAGTACGGCTAATTGAGAGGTGAAATAAAGATCGAGTGTACTGGTGCAAATCTAGACTTTCCAATAACTTTAGTCAGTAAAATGATAGCATTTTTTTTATCTTAAACTTTAGTACTCTTAAAACTTAGTTCACAAGGACTTAATGGAAGTCACTAAAATTCACATTAGACATTGCAATTACTATAAGATCTACAAAGGTTATCATGAAAATAATTAGATGATTGGGATAATGAAGAAACTGTCATATCCTTGGATCAAGGATCAGAAAAATTCCCATTTTAAATAAAGATATTTATATGTGTTTACTTCAGGCTGAGAGCACTGATATTTGATGGCATTAAATATATCCATTACCTTACCTAAGGAGAGACCTTCTTGCTGTAACAACAGCATGAGTGTCATGTAGCACTCTTCCATTTGGCTTTATGCACTGGCTGTAATTGTATTCACCTGTGCCTACAGCCACGACTTCATGATGTCCCACTGAAAGGAAAAGGTTAACAGCAGCAAGTTATTCTAACTCTTTCCTATGTCCCAACCCCACCTCTAGCCTACCATTTTAAGTAGGTAAAACATTGACCAAAAAGATGGAAAAAATAATTCCATAATTTCAAATAAGATTCTTAGGAGTCTTTTTAAGAAGCAAAATTTAATATCTCAAAAAGGCAGCTGTCTTATATCATGGTTCTTTATCTAAATTTCGCCACAGAATCAACAGAATCACCAAATATCCTTGAAAATAGGGCTTTCCATCATGCCCCTATTTTCTCCTCCTCTAGATTTATGTGACCTTTTTAAAAGGCTTCATTTGCTATTCTACTTAAAACTGTCTATATAAAATGCCTCTCAAATCCACTCAGATTCTCTAAGAACCATATTGTTTTCTGTTCTACTCAAACTGTTTTGAAAAGAAACCGTAGGCATTTTCCAGTAGCTTTGCTTCATTCACATTCTGCTGTGCCCACTTAAATTCCCATGAAATTCTATGCTTCCAAAATCCACAATTCAATGGCAGTCTTTCCCACCCCCCACCCCGTAATCTATAGGGCCTTTCAACAGCTACTGACTAGTTCATTGTTCTTTTCTCCATAAATATTTCCTTTTAAATATTGTCCTTCTTTTACTTCCGTGATGATTTCAGAAAATCTCTAGTCTTAAGACTCTCAAACAAACTTCAGTATACATTTGCAACTACCTGAAGAACTTTTTCTAATTCAACAAAAACTGCTGAGGTCCTAGAAATTATCAGACACTGAAGCAGATGCTAGGATTTACATAAGGAGCAAGACACGTCCTCATGAAGCTTCTGGGAGAGGGGGGAAAAAAAGACCAAACAAACCCCAAATTGTGGTAAGCATATGGAAGGAAACAAATACAGAACTGATGTAAAAAACAATCAAATACTTCATGCCAAATAGTTGCATGATCCTTTCCTAATAAGCTGTGGTGTGAGGAGCCAGCAACCACACAAGCACACCACCCTGAGCAGAGAGAGCACCAGAACAGCTGCTCCAGAGCAGGATGGAGGAAATGGCAGCAGTGAGGTTGAAGCAGCACTGTGCACCGTGCTGCAGAATCTTCAGGCTCCAACCAAGAGCTATGGGAAAACCCACTGAAGGTAAGGAAGCAAAAAGCATGTGGGGTTCATTCAGGATCACCCTTTCTTTTCTTCACAGCAAAGGAAACAATCAACAGAATGAAAAGGCAACCCACAGAATGGGATAAAATATTCCACACATAACCAAGGAAACTTTAATATCCTACAATTCATTAAAAAATATTTAAAAACGGATAAAGGACCTGAATAGATTTTTCCAAGGAGGACTTACAAACAGGTGTATTTCTGAAAAGTATTCAACATCACTATTTAGAGACATGGACATCAAAACCCCCAAGATATCCTCACACTGATTACTACAAAGTTATTGTCAAAAAAGTCAAAAGAAGTTTTGGCAAGGATATGGATAAATGTAAATGCTTATAAACTGTTGTGAGAAATATAAAAATTAGTATAGTCATTGTGGATAACAAAGTGGAGATTCTTAGGACATAAAAATAGAACTGCTATATGGTCCAGCAATCCCATCCTGGGTATATACAAAGGAAACAAGATCCTGAAGGGATATCTGAACTCCTATGTTCACTGCTGCACAATTCACAGTAGGCAAGGTATTAACAACATCCCAAAGTGTATGTCAACACATGAACTGATAAACTGATCTATCTATACACACTTTATCTCACATTTTATACGTGTGTGTATGTGTGTACTACAACTATTCAACCTTAAGAAACTATTGGGCTGGGGATGTAATTCAGTAGTGGAATGCTTGCCTAGCATACATGAGGTCCTAAGTTCAACACTCATACCACAAAACAGAGGAAATCTTATTTGCAATGACAAATAAAACTGGAACATATTATACTAAATGAAATAAGCCAGACACAGAAGGACAAATTTGCATGATCTTATTTGTATATGGAATATATAATCTACAAATGTGGGTTACTAGTGATAAGGACATGAGTAATGGGGAGATACTGGTCAAAGGATATAAACTGCAGTTATGATTAAATTCTGGAAACCTAATGTATACCCTGGTGAGACTACAGTTAATAACATTGTATTCTTAAGATTTGTAGCCAGTTTGGGGGAGGGAGGGCGGAGGGCAGGTAAACCTAGAGAGTATTGGTATGATAGAAACACCAAGTTATGGTAAAACTGTGTTGACTGTCTCTAGAAAGTCATGTGAACAGGTAACAAAATCCACTAGATTTTGCAACATGCAGGTAAGGGCAGCCTTGACAAGATTAGTTTTCAGGCTCAATGAGAGCAGGTGTTACACTATTATCAATCTTAGAAGAGAAAAAGGCTAAACTGGAGTAGAATTAGACACAGGAGCTGTAAGTAATTTAAGTTTGGCTACAAAATCAGATAAAAGGATGAGTGTGGATTTAAGTAGGAAAGGTACCAAGAGTTTAAAGGTTTTTTTTGTTGTTGTTTTATTTCCAAGACACAAGTTTGGGTAGACAGTTTTCCATACTACTGGAAAGATGAAAACAGGGACACCTGGGACAGACTCTGCTTTCATCCCTAGAAGAGGGAATATGGACCTTTGAGTGCAGACTATGACTCCAGAACTAGGTCTATAAACCTCTCCTAAGTGGAATTATGCAGTGTCAGGAAAGTTCTAGAATGAATGGTGATGTAAGCTGTTATGAGGGGACGAAACTCAGCCAAGAATTCAGCTTTTTTTTCCCTCTTCTGTTATTTGACCTGAACTGCTTCTGAAAGAAACTGAAGATTGATAATACAAGAAAAAAGAGGATATAACCAAAAGAAAAATTCATCAAGATGTAGAGGAAATGGAATCCAAATTTACATGAAAGAATTAACCTATAAAAGGAGATTCCCTCCTCCATGGTTACAGGAGAAAAATACAAATACAGGAAAGTATACAGGCAAGGGAGAGACAAATGATTGGATCTGACAGTTTCTTATAGACCCAATTAAAAGTAATGAGTGGTAAAGTGCTTGCCTAGCACATGTAAGGCCCTGGGTTCGATCCTCAGCACCACATATAAATAAATAAATAAAAGTAAAGGTTTTTTAAAAAAGTAATGAGGCATGGAAATAAAATCTAAGAATATATTTTCTATATGTCCTGTGAGTTACTCCGAGAATGCTGGCTTGATTTCACTCAGGCTTCCCCATCCCATATTTTCTAAAACTACATTTATCACTCTCCCACATTCTCTACCCAATCTCACACCGGCTTCTAGACCACTTTGTATAAGGTAAACTATTTTCCTATGTAAACTTGAAATGACACTTTTTTATTCATCTTATTTCATCTATCATTCATCATTGCCTTCATTTTATCATATCTATTTTGAAATATAAACTTCTTCCTGTTCTTGTCCATCTCAATTCTAATGTAGGCACTCTATCACAATCACCTAAATTGTGATTCCTTAATTCAGGTTCAACTCCCATTTTAAAAAAATGGTTTGTTATCAATTATTACTTAGGCATTCATTTACTTTAATCACCACAAATAAAATTAGTTGATTACTAAATGCCAACTACTGTGTATTAAATAAATTTACATTTTCATATCTAATTCTAACAACCCTATGAGTGGGTGTTAGTTTCTATTCTACTCATATTTGTAGAAATAAAAAAATTGAAGCAGAGATGACTAGAATATAACTTGCCTAAATTGAAGTTGCAGAGCTGATACTAATCTTCCCAACAATTACAATTGTTTAAAATCTTTCATAGATTACTACCATACCTAACATCTGAATAGTTCTTAAGCCACTTCATAATCTGGCCCCATTTTATAAGCTAACTACACTGTGTATTGCTCCTGTACATATACTATTCTGTACTAGCAATAAATTTATCTGCTCATTGTTTCATTTTTCCATTGCTCTTCCCTCATGCTTTCTTCTCTCCCCCAATTTTTCTTTTACTCTATTCAAACCTTATAAATGCTTAGTTCATGGGTTAGTATAAAACTCAAATTCTTAATGATCAACCCAGAACATAAAAGGACAAAAAAAAAAGATAATTAGAATTGCAATGTCACAACATCTGTATTTTACTATTTTTTAATTGAAAATGAAAATGCTAATTTTTATAGTCCCTTTTAATGTTTGTTAAAATGAGGATTAGATTTTGGGATGGTAGTGGTTAAGGTTTAAAATGTTAAACCTTTTTATCATTTTTCAGTTTTGATTCCTGGTCAGGATGTTTAATCTCTGTATTTGAGAAGATTTGTGTTTATTGAATGACTCACACCTACTAGAAAAGGTCACTTTAAATCAATGCAAAATCATGGTCAATAGAGGCAAAGATAGTTAACTAAAATATTACTAAAGTATAGTTTAGATCAATTAGGTTTTTATACAAACTAACGTCCCAAATATCTGGACTTACCTCTTTCAATTATAAAAGCAGCCAATGAATTGCTACATTTCAGATACTGTGAATGACTAGAAATTAGTTGATTAAATGTTTCTTTAACAATCTGTGAAATCTTTGCATACTGGATATGTCTCCCTTCTAGAAAAAATTTAAAAGCAATATGAATTTGAAGAACATTTGTTTTTCCAGAGATGTCTTATTTTTATTACAACTTTAGAATCAAATTCAAATTAGTTAATTTACAAAGACATAAGCAAATTTCTAACATGTCAATTTGGGATTTTAAAATATTCAATTGTAAAAAAATACAAGTTATTACTGGGTTTTGGATATTTCTCGTAAAAAGACTTGTCAGTACTTACTAGAGGACTATTGGTTTATACTTTCAGAGTTTACTCTGACAGTCACGTCACAAAGCAATTCTATTGTAGAGGACTGTCTCGAACATTGCAAGATGACCAATATCTTGCCAAATGGCAAAATACTCTCCAGTCATTGTGACAATCAAAATATACTCCTTTAGAATTTGCCCCATTGAGACCCATGGCAAACCACTAAGCATCTAGACTTGATATACTTCTGCATTCGCACTTTAAAGAACTAAACTTTGAAGGAAGGCTAAAACAGTACTAAGGGGGCTAGGGTTGTGAATCAGTGGCAAAGCGCTTGCCTAGCATGTCTGGGGCACTGGGTTCAATTCTCAACACTGCATATAAATAAAGGTCCACTGATTTATAAATATATATAATTTTTTTAATCTTAAAAAACACTTGAGAAACTAGGATCATACTAAAACAATTTATAAATAATAAACATCAATGAGTTGCTTTGAGATTCTAGGCTCTGATCATGTTCCTTTGTGTATACATAATTGTGTACTGCTAGTGAAAACTCATTATTAGAGAATGAGTTGCAGCAGCACTTAATACACTGTTTCTCCAAGTTTGGTCAAAAACTAATGATGGCTCTTGATATCGCATGTTTCATGGTGATCTGAGCCTTGATAGACTGAATTAAAAAAATGGAATAATTTTGCTCTCATGTGCTACGTATATTTCAAGTGTACAATTATAATTTCTGTAGAAATTCTTATTTCCTTAATAACCACTATCATCTAAAAGGCACAAATGCTGAAGTATGTTAGCAAGTCTCAATATTCTCCTAACTGGATACACTATTTTTCAGGTATCCTATATATATGTTCGTAATTACAGGAAACTTGCATTTTGTTAATCAATACTCTATTTGTGGCAAAACAGGCAAATGCATATTATCAAAAATAAAAAAAACACTTGAAAAATTAATCACAAAAATGGAGCTCTAAGAATGGACTAGTACCTCTTTATTACAAAGCTCATGGTACAGAATATGCAGTTTCCACTTCATGTTTTAAAAAAAAAAAAAAACGATTTTTTATTCTTTTTCAAAACAAGGTATACATTCACAAGTTTTCCTTTCCAGATACAAAACCACTATTACCAGTTTCTTAAGGTTATTTTAAGAAACAATGTATAAATGTAAACATGAATCATTAAAAAAATAACTAGGGTATGCTAAACACCACTCTTCATATTACTTTTATCTTGGACATCAAAAGAGACATTAGTGTTATTTCACTCTTATTAATGGTTCCACAAAATGAAATGGACTGTAATTTATTCAACCATGTCCTATGAAGTTAGTAATTAGTTTGTGACGATATAGAAAAATACATAATTAATACTAACCAAATAAGAATTATGCATGTGGCAAGAAAATGTTTAAAAATATCAAAAATATTTGGGAATCGATATACCAATGGGAGATAGGGATGGGGATACAACTCAATGGTAGAGCGCTTGCCTAGCATGTTTAAGGTCCAGGGTTTGACTCCAGCATTGCAAATAACAGCCCCTACACACAGCCCAATATACCAGTATATGTCTTGATCTTAGTATTAAATGAAATAACAAACACTGTGAATATAATTAGTTACTTCATGAATATCCTCTTAGCACATATATGAAGGAAGTATAATACTGTTTTCCCTATGCGTATGTGCTAATTGCTGAGGGAGTAAAATAGTCTCAAGTTATTGGGAATGAAGGAGGAAGTAAAAACATGACACACACAATGTCAGTTAACAATTTTTTTTTTTTTTACTACAAGTGGTTAACTTCAAGTGTTATTCAAATATCATGAGTGACCTAAACCTATCTTCAGAGCCAAAATGCTTCTATTTTTAGTGAAAATACAGTCCAGTTAGAATCATACGGCAAGGTAAATAGGCTGTGAAAGACTATTTAATAACTGGACCATCAGAGAGTACTAAGATTTTTATCATTCTCAAAGCTTTTTTTTTTTTCTTTCTTTCAAAAGCTGTAACACAGCTCCTGTTTTACCCCAAGGTTAAAGGATGATGTTTTGCTCTCCTTTTTCTGATACTTGACTCCTGCCCTAAGCTTTGTAAAGCATAATCTACTCCTATTTTTTATTGAAACTACATATTCCTCATTCACAGTTAACACAATCTGTTATCACCCATTCTTGAGATCTATTTCATTAGTCATTAAAAATGTCCACAAAGGCTGAAAGACAAGAGCCTCTTTCCATATTAAGAAGTCACTGCTGTAGGACTGACCCCTCATGGCTCTTCTGGTTCATCAGTTCCAGTGACTGTTAAGTCAAGTGACCATATCTAACTACTAGTGGATTTGTCCTTTGAATGTGTGTATTTTCCTTGGCCTGGTTCTTTACTCAATGGCAAGCCTACAAATTTGTGAAGCCTTTTTCATTGCCTTAGAAAAACAATGGAAGACAAAGGTTGCATAAAAAATTTCAAATCCTAACTTCCAGACCTGGAAAATGGAAGAATGGCTTTTTTTCTTTTTTCACTTTACAAACATTACAAACTTTAAAATCTGCAGTATGACACATTGTCAATGGAGAAATTTAAGAAAAAATTTCTGCTTTCAAGGAGATTAACAGTCTAACAGGAAAAGGACATTAACAACTACCATACAATATTGAAAGTGATGAGACATTATAATAAAATAAAAAGCTTACTGTTTAAGTGAGTACCTACTGTGTGTCAGGCACTAATCTAAGTATTTCATATGTATGAATTCATTTAATCCTTACAGTAGCTCTATGAGATAATTACTGTAATGGCCACTTTACAAATGATAAAATTCAAGTATACAAAGAAGTAACTGATAGAAGAACACACAACTAGTAACTTTAAGTTGTAATTTTCCTGGGCTTGAGTGATTGTAACTGGCTTTAGAACAAAGTAAATAGATTATTTGAAATGAATGTGCCAAATGACATCAAGCTACAGAAAGCCACTGGTTTACATTAATAACCAGAATAATCAGAACAAAGAATTCTTAAAAAAAAAAAGCAATTACATAAAATTGATGAACTATCTTCCTTATAAGAGGAAACTCCTTTTAATCTCTCTTCTTCTCATTTCTCTCATTTTAGCATAGAAATTTTCCTTTTATTTTACAGAGGTGGAAATAAAGGTTTTAATGATACAATGTTAATGTACATTTAATACCTATGCATATTAATTATAATTTTAATTGAGTTAATCTTCTAAAAAAGAACATCACAACGGACTTTCCTACCATAATGTACTTTCGAAACATAAGCTGGTTCAGGTGTAACAACAGGTTCTGCTGGGATAGGAGGAGGACCTGCAAACAAAACATCAGGAAACGTGAAACTTCAATATTCCAGAGAGCTAACACACTGGATTGATAGTAATCCAAGAATGATTATTTCCTGTATACTTCCACGAACTCTAGATCATTGAATGCTCATTAGCTCAGCATTGATAAAGTATTTTGCATTTTGATACCAGATATGCAAACAAGTTTGAATTTCTTACATAGATTGCTTTGTAAAAGTTGCAACATTGTGCAAACCAAACCAGTCTTTTTTGATACTTATGAACAGTTTTCTATTTATAATACTGTAGAAAATATTTTAAATGAATATTCTATTAAAAATGAGTAAAAATTATCATTTTAAATACTATTTTACCAGGCTATTTTCTAGGAGAATGTGTCAAAGTTCTCAATGCTTTTAGTGCCATTCCTTGCAACTGCTCTCCAATTCAGTCCCCAAAGTTAAGGAATCCAAAAAACAAGAAAAGAACATGACACTAAATCAGAGGAACAAGCAAACAAACAAACAAACAACAACAAAAAAAACCAGACGAGACCGGGAGCATTCAGGGTGGTATGGCCGCTTGAATCAAACTGTGAAATATGATGTATTAAGAACTGTGTAATGTTTTGAACGACCAACAATAAAAAAAAAAAAACAAGTGACATGGCTCCAGAAGCTAAGATCCCAATTAAAGTAGCCAATTTCTTAAAAATCATTCACAAAGACAAAGGAAAAAGAATTCGTACTCTAGACTAAAATTTGAGTAAGATGGGAAACTGAGCAAAGAACAGGTGATAATGTTACCTCAGGGCTCATATTAGAGAAATGCTAACTATAGTTAAGTTTATACACCCAGATTTGAGAAAAGCAGAACCTTAAACAGAGAAAGATGGATTCAATTCTATTTACTTGAGTGAGTGTGGCTAAGTAGATATTAATCCCTGTTTATTATGCACAAATAATCTCAATAAAGAAATAAACCAGACTGCACAAGATGTTCTGCATTTTAAAATGCTATGTAAAAATAGTTGAAAAAATTTTGAAATAAAAAGAACAAAGTTGGAGGATTCAAACATCTTAATTTCAAAACTTACTCCAAGGCTAATTAAAATAGGATATTACTGACATAGAGACAGACATATAGATCAGACAACCCAGAAATAAACCTGTGCATATATGGTCACATGATTTTTAACAAAAGTGCCAAGGGCAATATTTTCAACAAATAACACAGGGAGAATTGGGTATCCATATGCAATAGAGTGAAGTTGGATCCTTTCATCATATGCAAAAATTAATTTGAAATGGATCAAAGATAAACATAAGAGCTAAAACTATAAAACTCTAAAAGAAAACAGAGGAAAAGCTTCAAGACATTAAATATGGCAATGATTTTTTGGATATGACAAAAGACACAGGCAACAACAAGAAGAAGGTTGAACTTTGTCAAAATTAAAAACTTATACAGAAAAGGACACTATCAACAGAAAAAGAAACCTGCAGAATGGGGAAAACATTTTTGCAAATCTGATAACTGTTTGATATCCAGAATGGAGAAATTCTTAAACTCAACAACAAAAAACAGCGTAGTTGAAAAATAAACAAAAGACTTGAATAGATATTTCTCTAAAGCAGACAGACCTATGTCCAATAAGACATGAAAAGATGCTTCACATCATTAACTACTAGGGAAATAAAGTAAAGCCCACAATAAAATACCACTTTTCACATCCATTAGGATTAGCTCATAGTAAAACACAAAAAATAAGTAAAAAAAAGCAAGAATGTGGAGAAATTGGAACTCTTATGCACAGCTGATAGGAATAAAATGGTTTAGGCATTATAGAAAACAGTATGGTGATTTCTCAAAAAATTAAAAACTTATCAAATGATCCAGCAATTTCACTTCTGGGTATATAACTGAAAGAACTGAAGGCAGCATGTCAACAAGATATCTAAACACAATAATCACAACAACAAAAATTCAGAAGAGTCAAAAAAATGTAAGCAACCCAAATGTCCATCAACAGAAAATTGGATAAATAAAATGTGGAATACACATGAATATTGTTGAGCTCTTAAAAGCAAAGAAATTCTGACACGTACAACAAACTAGATGAACCTTGAGGACATTATCCTAGGTGAAATAAACCAGTTACAGAAGAAAAAGCAAACAAATACTACCCGATTTCTCTTACAGAGACACAAAGTAGCATGGTGATTGTCAAAGGCTTAGGGAAGAGACAGGGAGTTGTTATTTAATGTATGTATAACTTCAGTTTTGTAAGATGAAGAATTCTGGATATTGGGGGCTGGGGTTGTGGCTCAGTGGTAGAGCACTTGCCTAGCATGTATGTGGCACTGAGATCCATCTTCAGGACCACAAAAAAATAAAGGCATTGTGTTCATCCACAACTAAAAATATTTTTTAAAAATTCTGGATATTGGTTGAATAACAAAGTGAATGGATTTAATACTGCTGAACTGTACCTTTAAAATGGTTAAGATGGTAAATTTGAAGTATATTTTACAATTAATTTTTTGTTGTTGTTTCTGGGGATTGAACTCAGGGGCACTTTACCACTTAACTACATCCCCGCTCCTTTGTGAGTCAGGGTCTCCCTAAGTTGCTGAGGGTTTTGCCAAGTTGTCGAGACTGACTTTGAACCTTCTTCAGTCTCCCAAGTTGCTGAAATTATAGGCATGCGCCACCATGCCTGGAAAAACTTTTTAAATGATTAAAAAGTCAAACTTAAAAATCAGACTCTTATGTCAAAAAGTATTAGATTTTCAAGACTTAATAGAATCAATCACATCATCCTTGAGAAGAATTTATACGGTTAACAAAATCTACTTTAAAATACTGGAAAAAAGATACACAAAAGAATCTTCAGGGGGCTGGGGCTGTGGCTGTGGCTCAAAGGTAGTGCACTTGCCTGACATGTGTGAGGTACTGGGTTCAATTCTCATTACCACATATAAATAAATAAATAAAATAAAAGTCTATCAACATCTAAAAAAATTTTAAAAAAGAATTTTCAAACAGTGATGAGTTTAGAAGTGTGAAAAAATCCTAATGATCAGCTTTCAAATTTTTAAGTATAAAAGACAAAAAAAAAAAGGACAAAGTCAATAGACAGTAAAGAGAAGAAGAAATCCTCAATTCTTTCTTCTACATCCTTTCTCAAGAAAGAAATTTTTTAACTCAGTTGTTTAAAACAACTACAGAGGAAAGACAACCTTATTATATATTATTTCACAGTTCTTAAATATGTTTTAACTTGATTTCTGAAAAGTATTTAGCTCTTAGAGGACAGGGGATAGGTCAAGACTACCACAGTTTCTGGAACATAGTATTTCCTAAAAACAGATTTCTACTGTATGCTATGGTTGGAAGGAAAGCAGGAAAATACTACTGGGTACAAAGTATATGTAGGCAGTTTGATAGCTGATAAAATAATTTTATAAAAGGAATTCCTATCAACAAATGAAAGAAATGTTGTAATATTCTTCATCATAGGTTCTGCATTTCACATTTACTTGTTAAATATTCTGGATAGGCAAAGATAACTATAAAAAAATCTAAATCTTAAGTCATTAAGCCACACATGGGTAGTATTTATTCATCACAGCATAATTCAGTGCTGACCCTGAATAAATACAGATAAGTAAAATTAGATGATAAATAAGAATTCAAAATTATCACAAATGACTTTGTATTATAAAGACAAGTTTCTGGTTGAGTCATTAATTTCCAACTATTAAGTCAAAATATCATCCACATGACAAAAATAGGAAACAAAGAAATCAAGTAGCATGATTGTTAGATAATCTTGATAATACAAATGTTACACTTCTAATAAAACATTCTTTGATCATGCCAAAAAGCAATTATATACCTAATACAATTTTTAAAAAACCCAGGATAATTAAAGATGTTGGACAAACATGAAAAATAACTAGAAGAAACATGAGTATTAAGGAAAAATGCCACCCTTGACCCTCCTGCTGAAAGCAAACCAGAAAACAACCCATATGTACAAAGTAGGACAAAAGGAATAATTTAAAACAATTTTTAACAAAGTGAATTTAGTGATCAATGTTCTTTTGTAGGTCAAATAACATGTAAAAAGTCATACCTGAATAATAAGAGTGACATTTATATGTCAAAACTTAAGACATTTACCAAAATCATACCTTGCCCTAAATATTATATCAGAAAAATATAAAAATTAAGAAAATACTCTATCTCTAAATCCAAAATATGACAAGCTATTTGAAAAACAGTGAGAAAAACATTAAAACTCACCTCATAAGGTGTGGCCAAATTACTTGTTTTTTATTATTAAATAAACTGCTTTAATTAAACAATATCAATTAAAATATATAAAGAATTTAACTTAAAGAACCTTAAGAAATGAAAGAAAAGCTGTGGGGCTGTGGCTTTAGTAGAATAAACAGACTTGTATTTATAAAGAATGAATGTATAGTCACTGCTTAAAATCAAATTAAGATGTTTTAAAAGTTGCCTCATTTACATGTAAATCAAAACAATTTAACATTGAAGCCAATACTGGCAAAAACAATAACAATTTAACATATTCTTCAAACTAATAGTTAATAATAAGATTTACTATCAATTGATTCTGTATTATTCACCAGGCACTGGTTAAGTGTTTTGTATGCATTTAATCATAGTAACAGTCACAGAATATAGTTAACTTCATTGTTTTTACCTGTCAAATGAAACTTGGGTTTAGAGGGCAATTCATGTGATGGCCCATGGTCAACATTTCAATATTATCAATCTAATTCTGCAATATACCTTCTTAATCTATTTGCCATGCTACCTTCAGTCATCATTTTCTCAATTAACAACTATTTACTAAATCTAATACAGGAAAATTTGTAAACTATGCATTAAATCCCTTTTAGTACTAAATATATAGAATTAAGTGCCTTGGTAAGAATTTATTACACAAAAAACATTTCAGGATTAGAAATAATTAATAATCTGACAAGTTATCAGACAATTTAGCCACATTCATAATGACTTGTGGTACTGAAATAAACAAGAGCATTTCAACTACTATTAAATATATCAGTGAATCCAGTAAGTTCTGTAGCTACCAAGTAACTCTTCATTAACATCAATCTTTAAGTAATTCCTCCTGGAAAATGATACATTTTCCAAATACTTTGTAATAAAGAATATTTACCTGATGGTTCTAACATTCTTGGTTCAGGTTCATCCAATTGTAGAAGCTCATCAAGAGCTAACTTTGCTGCATTGGATCTAGACTCCTTTTTATTTTGTCCCAGTCCAGTCTTATATTGAATACCATCCACAACAGCACAAAAAGCAAAATATGGTCCCATAACATTACCTAGAAAAAGAACACAGAATGACTGCTACAGTAACTCACAGTACCCTCCTGCAAATAATGTTTGTATTTAAAAAAAACATTCTAGTAAAAATATCCTGTAAAATTTAGTCTAAAACACCAACCATTCTTTTTATTTGGCCAATAAGGGTTTACAACAGAGATAGATGGGCCCATAAACTAGTTTAGAGAATTCAAGAAGCTAGGTTGGCTCCAGATCCAGAGTGAACAACACCACAACTTTAGAATACATGTCAAGCATGGAATGACAGGAATGTCACGCCTGGCAATGGTAATCACTCAAATATCTACTGAACAACCAATGAGAGATACACTGTAGAGACTTCTGTTAATATCACTCTTTTTAAAATTGTTAATACAAGGGGAATTTCTCCCACCTTTAGATTACTCTGATACTTTGATAAGCTCCAGAAACAAGGAATCCCTTTGAAGAAAACTTATGAACATTTCAGGGCATAATGGTAAACAGCTCAATCTACTAGAGCTCAGGGAAGGCTGAGGGTGGGAAACCAGGAGAAAAATCCCAAAATACAATAACGAAGATATCCTAAAGAATTAAACTTGATGTCCAGTCCTCCAAAATTTCTAGGATTATTTTTACACTTTTACTTAATGTTCATATTTGCCTAATGAAAACAAAATGGAATTATCTCTTAAAATCACAGATCAATAATTTCTGTTTCAAGTTTTACTTACTGGTATTAGAAACTTTAGGAGCCTAAATCGCTAGTCTTTAGTTATGGATGGCTAGATACAATGACTATGCACATAAATCCAGTATCTTATTTCCTCACGTACAATCACATTACATTAACTGTTTATTTTTTTGGTACAGGGGATTGAACACAGGGGCTCTTAACCACTGAGCCATATCTCCAATCCCTTTTATATTTTATTTTGAGAAAAAATCTTGCTAAGTAACTTAGGGCCTTGCAAAATTGCTGAAGCTGGCTTTGAATTCATGATCCTCCTGCCTCAGCCTCGAGAACCATTAAGATCGCAGGCTTGTGCAACCACACCTGGCACATTGTTTTTAAATTTTGCATTAAGGCTTTATCAGGAACTCCTGAGGGCAACTGAGTGAATTGTTTTCCCTCATCTAAGACCTCAATTTCCCGAATTTTTTCCTTTATAATCACCTGTGTTTCAGTTCAAATTTACCAAACCACACAGCATTCTGTATATTTAACAAGTGGCCCAGATGCTTCGTACAAAGGAGATATTATTACACACCAAATCTTTTAATGTGCATTCTGTGTCAAATGCTGAGTCTATCAGTGTCACCTGTTTATAACCCAGGTTCTCAAATTTTACCATGAATCTAAATTACATATAGAGCTTGCTAAAAATATTGATACTCTGGTATCAACACCAAACCTACAGAATCATACTTCAAACAAAAAAAGAACCCATTGGCAATCAATAGGTCACGTTTTTGAGTTATTCTTCCTAGAAAACAACTGATCCATTTGTCTTTCTTACAATGACCAATGGGTTACATTTTCCAGGGACAGTCTGAGAATAATGCAAGAAAACATTAAGTTACACAGAGATTAAGCCCATTTTTTAATAATATAGAATGTGGTGTTTTCTCAATGTATCTATTTGTTACCCAAGGTTACTGGCATAGCATCACTTCAGTATCCATTTACTGGAAAGATATTTTCTAGCACCATAATAACCAGACAACTTTGCACTTGCCTGTTGTTACAGTCTCCTTAAGGTCAAGCTGAACCCGCTGCATTTGTGCAAATTGGTGCAAGGCCGATACAGGATTTATCTCTCCACGTTTGTATTTCATTATAAATTCCTTAGGTATTTTTTTTGGAGGCAGGACAGGATGTGAAATAGATGAAAGACCTTTGGAAAGTAATGGTTCTGGAAAATTACCTAAAAATAGATGTTTACATGGTCATTTTGGTTAAAATATAAAAGTGAGCAAAAGCATAAAATCCTCCTCAAAAATGGAAGATACACAATCACATTTTTTTTGTTTCTACTGTATAGTTTTGGCACACATGACAAGCACAATCTATTATATCTTTTGACATACCTAAAACCATTTTGAAAAAAGAAATGTTACCATGTTAATACTGAAAATGCATGGAATTTTAGTGATGTCAAGGTCTTCAGAGGCTATGCCTTTTTTTAAAGATGATGTCACTAAGGCTTAGAATGGAGAAAGATCCAGATCTGTGGGGAGTACAACCCAGTTTCTGGGTCTCATCCACTATTTTATACTGCCTGTCATATTCAAACAGTACAACAAATTTGAATTTGAATCAAATTCCACTTAATTTTTCAAGTATAAGCCCTTGCTTTATATTTAACACTTGGCTAAGTTATTTCTGGAATACAAACTAGTGTAAATCCAGTCCTTTACCCAAAGCCTCACATCAAAAAGACAATGACACGCTTGAAATGGTTTAGCGCAGTCAAGGCAGTAATGAGTAGTTAAGGGAGAGACCGGGAAAGCTTCTTCAGGCTTCCTAGAGGCTGGGAATCAGCTTAGAGGCTCCAGGTGGGACTCAGCTGCAGAGAAATGTCTACACCTAGCATCCAGGGCACACTCAAATCAGAGGCTCAAGGGAACTTATTCGCCATCCCAGAACCTAAGAACTGGGGCACGATTACAAATGAAGAAGTCCTACCGGTCACTTGTGTAACCTTGGATGCCATACTCGACAAGCTGCAGCTGTCCGAGGAGTATAGTGTGGCTGTGGTCACAGTCTGGGCTGATGGCTGAACTGGCAAATTCTTTTTCAGCATCTGAGCAAAACTAGGGACCCTGGAATTCTGAAACCAGTCATTATTGCCAGACGTTTTCTCACCTACAAACCATGAGAAAATTGGAAGGGGAAGAAAAAAGTAAAATACTGTGAAGCCGAAATACTCTGGGAGAGCCCCCAAACCCTAGTTTCCACAAATGCCTTTTCACACACTCCCATGACCACAGCCAACCCTCTTCAGACTGCTCGTGCGTTTCAGCAGGCGCTGACCCCTTGCTTCCCAGGAGAGAGGGGACATGGGGCCGAGGGGACATGGGGCCGAGGCGACCCCCACCCGGGGATGTGGGGCACAGGAAGCAAAGCCGCCCGCTGAGGACTCGATCATGGGGCTGCGGGGACACGGGAGGACGCCGCCCGCGCAGGCCGCAAGTCCCCAGAGCTGCGGGGACACCAAGGGGCACCGCAAACTATAGGACTGCGATAACTGCGAGGGGCACCGCCCGCAAATTCCAGGGCTGGGGGTCCTGGGGTCCCCGGGGACGCCGCCCACGCAGGCCGCAAACCCCGGGCTGCGGGGACTCCGGGGACGCCGCCCGCGCAGGGACACCAGCAAGGCCGGGCAGCAGCGCACGGCCCCTCTCTGCCGACGCCACCCACCGAGGCCGTCCTCCCCGCCGCCCTCTGGGCTGGACCCCGCGGGCAGGCGCGCGGCCAGGGGCAGACCCAGCCGCAGGCCCGGAGCTCGCCG